CACCAACCCGTCGTCAGCCCAAAGGAAAACAATTGCGCAAGTTAGATTTTCACACCTGACCCTTTGGCGCGTTAGAGGGTGAGTCATGGTAGTTTACTGAGCAGGGGATGGGAGGCAAAATAATTACGCCTGTAAGGAACGGTGGATGGTACAACAGTTGGAACCTGCACGCATGCATGCACTTACCATGACGTTGTAGGTGATCTCATGGAGCCAGGGGATGTGTATGAAAGTCTGGAACCATCGACCGATCACACCGGAGACGAAGAAGCCCAAAACGAAGGATACTGGCAGTTGGGCGCGAATATCCTCACAGTAGGCAACCATAATGTTGAAAACACTGAAACGCATGTTAACCCATCAAAAGCTGGTGATTAGACTTCATTTAATTTCAAAATGGTCTTGCCCGAGTTTACTCACGGTTTTGAAATATATTTTGAGGGACTCTTCACTATATCGTAATTAGATATTACTATTCAAGGCAAAATCTGTCACTTAAGGACGCGTTAATACTGACGAATAATCATTGTATCTCCTAAAATTATGTCAACGTATGAAACCTACAATTGGCCTAGGTTGGAGAACAAACCAACAAATTAAATCAGTTTTGCGAGTAAATTCGTTTAAAGAAATGCGAGTAATTGAAATTGTTTAATCAGCATTTATATTTTAATTGAGGGTTCACGACGACCGTCCCTTTTAGTAACGAATTTCATAGCGAGCACCTCAGCCCAAAGCAAATTGAAGATATCTTTTGGAGGACTTCTGCTCTTAAACGCGACACATTCACATAGTTATACAACAAAACAAAAATATCAAAATGGTTTAAATTATTTAAATCACGACTTCGATCCCTTTAAGCTCATTCTTAAAGCCTTAAACCGTTGCGCATCTACCCTCATGGCTATTACGTAATTATTTGGTTTTGGATACAATTTTCCATGCACGTTTGGAGGATGAAGTAAATCGCAACATTTAATGCAATGTTTATAAGGCATGTTATTTATTCAATTCTCTTGTGATAGAGTAATTGAAAAAAGACAGGAATAGTTCCCTTGTTTGTACAAGAGCATGATAATTCCTCGCATGTATGTCCAAAAATCGATAGGTTATTTTGCACGCACTAATTCTTTAAGAGAAGCTCACTTTAAAAATCGGTGTAGAGTCCAAGGAAGATTGGTTTTGGGACATCAGTTTCGATGTGCGTCTAAAATAAGCTCTTTTAGCTTATTATGGTGCTCTGCTGAGGTCTTCATCAAAACACCCAGCAACCTGGATTTCTTCTGCTTAAATTAATGCATTTCTCACCATTTTCGCATGAGGAAGAGGGTGAGTAGGAGTTGATCCAGCACTGAGTTGTCACCCGAGGCATTCATTTCTCCGGCACACATCCATGCAGATTACCCGTAACGGCCGGATTCATCCTAACTAAAACCGGTGGGTCTACACCATAGGTGCTCGGATTGCCAAAAGACATCGGGTTCATGAAACTAACAGCTCCATTGCGAGCAAGCATCAAACGTGCGTACTTTATTCCATATTCTACAGACACATCACACTTTGTAGGTTTAAGACAAAATGTGATGTGTTTGCCTTATTAAAGTCGTCAAGGTGAACAGAATTGGGAGCGAAACATGCCTATGCAGGAAAAGGGGTGAAGCATGGTAGCACCTATTGGTTTTCCTTTTAATTCAGCTCGAAACGATAGGAGCGAGAGTCTTTCCCAAAAAGAACGGATTACTGCCGGTGAATAATCCAATAGTCCTCTAAGTTTATGTCTCCGTAAAGGAAATACAATTCAATAAGATAGAGGTATTGAATTAGAGTTACAGCGCAAATCAGTAAATTTAAAACGACATTACGCTAGACCGTCTATAACCCATTCAAATCTTCGAGGACTTCTATTAATTAAATGCAGTTGATAGTCATCTGGTGGATTTTATACTTATTGCTTAGGAAATGCCTCCCATATTTGAACTTACGTATGTTACAGTTTGTTGGGCGGGTAACTTTGTCAATTTGAGTAAAGTCACGGCTCGTTTTGGGCATTATAGGTGAGATGGTTAGAGAATTGTCTGAACTAAAGCTTGCCACGTACTGTCATGGAGTCGAATGTCACCGAGATTGATGAATTCTCCATAAAATAGTCAAATGAGTTATTTAAGCCTGCCAAAACCCCTCTTTTAAGTTCCTTACGTGTTTAGGAATCAGGTAATTGCATTATTCCTCAGTGATGGACAAAACTGACGAAAATCTAAACTGGTAAAAAATCCCTTAGGAGGAATATATCTCCTCGCGTCTGTCTTACAAATTGTCGCTGATATTTATAACCAACACCAAATTTAAGAAAATCTGGGTAAAATCAAATCTTCCAACCTTAAGCAAGAAAGCAACGCGTAATGTTTCCCCTTTTCCACAAATAAGACGATTTTTTTTATTTTCTAGACCAAACATGTCTTAATGGCCTTACTCGCATCATGGATAATAAAAGACTGGACGGTACCCACACACAACTATGCAAAAGTAGAGAAGACTTACATTTTTTGTTCGTAGTTCAGGGCAAAACGATAGATTAGGTGTATAAGGTAGTAGATGGTCAGGTATATTATAAGATCCAACCACACAAGCTTGTACAGGCTTCCCTTCCATCTGAAAATGACAGGGAAGTGAATACAATAAGTATTCGCGGGAAAGTTAGGAATTCATGCAGGAAACCGCGCACTACCGTCCAAAAATGGATAGCAGATTAAAAGCTAACCCAGTTTCTTAAATGTGTTTTTGAGTTGTATATTTCGCTTAATTTGCGTTTTAAATTACTTATAATACAGCATAATTTAATAATATCTCAGTCACGGCACGATATGATCTTCTACACGGATCCAGTTCCGACCGCCTTCAAATATTACATTCAGTAAAATATGGCTACTGCATTAGTATCCATATTTTCCTTGAAGTTAATTGCCCTTAAACATGTTTGCATAAATATAAGCAGCTAGGCATGAAACAATTTTCGTACTCCGTTTGCGGCAAATAACACATTTTTAAAATTTTATCGTTGTAGGAAAACTTGCAAAAATATTTGATTTCTTAGATAAGGGTGAGCGTAACCTAGTGCTTTACGTGCACTCGGCTTTCCTAAGTACAAGTGTTATATTTTTCTCTCAGAGAAATCCTGCGTATACTCTAGTAGCAAGGGGGCGTATGGTTTCCTGTTCAAAAGCCTGCATCCTAACGTGACTGAGATTTCTGTGGATTATGCTTTAAGTTACTTAATCAAAATATAATTGACCATCGACTTTTTTCGGCTATCAGCAGTGTTATGTGGTCACAGGTTCAAGCTGAAACCCAGAGGTAGTTGACTCAGCCTTAGTTTGTTTTCGCTCTATGACAATTTGTGCCATTGATGTTCGATGACAAGGGAGGTTGCTAAACAAACTCATCACTGTTGTAGGTTTATTTATTCACGGGGTTTTATCCACAAGTTGTCGTATCTTCTAGACTTTGTCAGAGTAGGAGTTGTAAAGGTAAGCAAACTAACAATACTTGTCTCACAGACTGTATGTTCACAGATTGGTTTCGGTTTAGGAAAGATGGAATGGAAAACAAGCTTAAGAAGATAAATTTACTTTGTGGTCATTTTTTACTTCACTGTCACTCTTATGCCAAAGTGTTCATGCCAGATCTAATTGCCTTTTGACGGTACTTTCCGGGAGCAAAGACAGAGACTAACGTGGTCTTATGACCACTTTCTATAAGAATAGCAGAAAATCAAAGCGTACTTAGGGGTAAGTCCATCAGCTAGTGTTATATAACGCTTTCTGCAGGTTCGTAGAATCCATCCTGTTTGAGGTTACCCGTTGACTGGCACCAAGTCCAAAATTGGCTTACGCTCCCAAGAAAAGTCACCAAATAGTAGTATATTTTTTGTAACTGAGTGATACTCTAACTACAATGTAATAGGAGACATGAGCTGTGTGTGACACACATAAGCAACAAATAACGTTTGTGTCCTCTAAAAATGGACGCTTGAAGCTACAATAGATTTCCTACTCCATTATATATCAGGATAATTCCTGAAATGTGTTTCAAATCCCACCAATTACTTAGATAAGTTTGTGAATTGCATAAGCCTGCAGCCTAATCCTAAGCCATTTCAGCCACGTTAGGATACCCAAATGTCTTCCTGAATGCCGGCAAAAATATATTATTAAAATGGCTACTTCAGTATTATGCATATTTTTCGTCGTTTTTTGATAAACTTATAAATTTAATTATATTTGATAAAAAACAAACACCAAAATTCACTTTCGTGTACTCACTTTATTTTAAAAATTGTACGTCTTTTTTCATACCTTATACTCGAAAATGGCATCTTTTGGTTTTAAAATAAGCAGGTGATTATAAGATGTTTTTTGGAACGTGATATGTTCTGTCATAAAACACCCTGTCCCTCAATGCAGTAATAATACCTATAAAGTAGGCAACATGCTCCACTTTTATTGCAAAAGGTGATGATAAGTATGTGACGTCTTCTTCATATCATAAGGAAATGTGTGATAGGCGTGTGATGTAAATGATAAAACATATAGTTTGGAAT